TTGATTTAAATATTTGATTTCAAATATAGTCATATTTGGAAAAAATGTGATGTATACATATATATCTTTTTTTTTTTTTTTTTTTTTTTTTTTGCGATACGCGGGTCTCTCACTGTTGTGGCCTTTCCCGTTGCGGAGCACAGGCTCCTGATGCGCAGGCTCAGCGGCCATGGCTCACGGGCCCACCCGCTCCGCGGCATGTGGGATCTTCCCGGACCGGGGCACGAACGCGTGTCCCCTGCAACGGCAGGCGGACTCTCAACCACTGCGCCACCAGGGAAGCCCATATATATCTTTTATAATCTAAAAAGATAGTAAATCTTAAGTCCCCACAGCCCCTGACCAAGAATGCAGAGCCTCTTCATCTTTACACCCAGGTTAAGTGAGTTTTCTTCCAGGAAGACAGGCTGAGGCCAAGGTCAGAGAGGATGTCTTTTTGTTCTGGGGCTGGATGAGCTATGCTTCTCAATCTTTTCTAGCTAGTGCCAGCAATTCTGCTTTTGAATTTCTATGCTGCCTGTTAACTCTCTTCCTTTATCATCTTTCTTGATACTTAAGATGGTCTATCTTTGAGTGGGCTGAGATGACTAATACTCTTTGGTTTGAGGCATGTGTTGAGAAACTTTTCAAGGCAAAAATATTTGTATCTCTGTAAGAAAAGTGAAAAAAAATGGGAATAGGACGGAAGCAGCAAGGGACAGTCAGTTCCTGACACTGCTGAGAGACTTCTGTATTCTTCCCAACTGTAGGTATTCATTATGCAGATGAGGAAACAACAGCTTACAGGGGTTAAGTACTGAACAGCTTGTGCAGGTCACAGGCCAGGAAGTGATGGGGGCGGGGGGTGAGCATTTGAACACTTGTCTGAGTCTTCCCTATTGTAGTTGCTGTCATAATTATTTTATAGTTATCATTTTACATGAGCTCATCTTTATACTTCCTTAGCAATGTCTTTTACTTCCTTAGCAATGTATCTCCCCTCTTACAAGGCATCTGAAGTCAACAATTGCAGAATGTCACTGGATGACACATAACAATGCATTCAACAGAAACGTAGTTTCTATGTTGTGTTGAGTTCATTACAGGCTTATTTATATATAAAAACCTGTTGCATAAATTTAAGATATATATGGATTTTACATATCTTAGGAAAATAACTGAGGGTTTAATTGATCATGTATTGAATATGGTGTAGTTGCTTAAATCACTAGCAACATATTAGGCTACATTAATACATGAAGCGTGTTCAAAATTTTGCACTAATAAATTCTGGTCAGATTTTTGGAGCAGTACCTATTCTGAGACCCACACTGTAAGAAAAGTCTTGACAAATTACCAAATCCCCAGAGAAGCCCAATTGAATTGTTATAACTATTCTGTATCAGTTCCACTGTGTTCTGTTGCAAGTAGGAAAAGTACTGATTATTAGTGGCTCGAACTCAAAGTCATTTATTCTTTACAAAACAAGATCAGAAGGTCACTAGATTTAAGTTTGATTCAGTAGCTCCACAATGGCAGGGTGCTGGATGGGCATTTCTGTGATTCTGTTGATCAACCCTAATGGTCATAAAATAGCTGCTCCCTTTCCAGACCTCACACCTTTATACTTTCTCACATGAAAGTAAGTATGAATTTGGTCTATGTTGATGAGGACAGGTTCTAGACAGTGGGTAAAGTTTACGGAAGAATATTTCAGCTCAATATAGGAGGGTATTTGCTAAAACTTCAGAGTCACCCAAAAATGAAATGATTGCTTTCAGGATACAGTGAACTTACTCATACTGAGGCTGTGGAAGTATGGGTAGGTTTGATATTCATTCATTCACTACTGCTGTAAAATGGATTTCAGGATGGAAGAGGAATTGGAATTAGATATTCCTAGAGTCTTTTCTAACTCAGAATCCTGTACTACTGCTAATACTACTGCTACAGTATTGATGAATTTGAAATAAACTATAGTTACAAATAACTGACTATAATAAAATCAAAACCTTAATCCATTAACAAGAAATTATAAATAATGCATCAAGAAAGGACTTTACTATTACATTTTAAATAATTTTTTTATTAAATAGCAGAGTGAGTTAGCCTTAATGAACCCATTTGGCAATGCATGTTCTAACATTTCTTCATCTCTGCTCTACAGTAGCTAAAACAGCTACAGTACCTGTGGATTGGCTAAAACTTACCTTCTCCACTTCCACTGTCAAGTTTTTAAAGCACCAGGCTATGCAGTGTTGTAGTACATGTACGCATGAATAGGAAATTTGGCTGACTTTTCCTCTCTGAGTTAAATTATGCAGTGGTGGTCAGTTAGTGCCTTCCAATCAATTATTTGTGTCATACTCATAATGATAGACCCGCATTGCCTTCATTTGAGTTACTTGGATTTTTAAAGAAAGATAAAATTTAACATGCTTATAAAAATGTGGTTCAATAAAGCTGTTGAATAAGGGTGACTACTCTGGAGTTACAGCTGTACCTTGGGAGGTCATTCTAATAAGTCGCTGGACGTAAGAGTGAGTTATCATGTCTTCACAGCATCCGCAGCCCGTAAGAGGAGCTGATGGGCAAAGGCGATAAGTTAGGCTTTGGAAATGTTGGATTTGAGGTGCCTTTGACATATCTATGTAGAAAATACATGAAAAGTCTTGTCAATACATGAAAAATTCCTTGTAAATACATGAAAATATAAATGGAGAGCTCAGAATTATGATCAAGGCTGGAGAGAACAGATTTAGAAATTATTGGGACATAGAAGAAATTGCTCAGGAAGAGCTCAGAGGGTATAAAGAGAAGCAAGTTATAAAGAGAGCCCTGGGAGACGCTAACATTTAAAGGCTAAACAGAGAAAATAGAGTCAGTTAAGGACTACAAGAGGAGAGTACCTGGAACCAGAGGGGATTTCAATCACAGAGGCCAGAAAGGCTCAACAGAATGTGGTCACTGGTGCTGACAGTGTCAGTGAGATTAACTAAGAAAAGACTTGAAAAGTGTCTCTTGGACTTGGCAGTTAGGGTTATCGATGACATGAGGCTAAGAAATACTTCATTTAAGCAAAGAATTCTCTCCTCTGTTCAAATCTGAAATCACATCAGTTTACTCTTTTGTACTCTTAGCTCTAAAAAATGCTGAAAAACAAAAGTTACTTGTGTTCTTCCAAGCAGTAGTCCAGTTTTTTTTTTCTTTTGAGGGTGAGGTCCATTATAGTAGCCCCCTATGGTGTCAGTGGACTCTTCTAAATGCATGCTGTGGTCAAAGAATCAGTCAGCCACTGTGGATTATTGAACTGTAGAAAACGCTATTTATCAACTTCTTGCTAAATTGTGTTTTGTGAAATTTATTTTCAGGATTTTGTTTTCAGGTTTAGAAGTAGGAATTTTTCTGAATATGGTTTATATTTGTGAAATTATTACTGGAAAATGTTTGCAGGAGCCTTATTTTATAGACTAAACATTTCACCAAAGGTTCAGATAAGTTAAACTACAACCTGACATCTTAGTCTGCTTAATATTGTGTCCTGCACAAAATACATATTAAGTTATTATTATCTCCATACAAAGGAGCCATGTCTTTTTTGTGAAAACATTCAATGAGCTGTCAAAATTCAACTGCTAAAGCATAAGATGAGGGTCAATATAAGTAAGCAATGTAGCTATGCATAATATTCTTTGTAAGTTAAAAATATATAAAAATCCTCTTTTAAGTCAGTGGTTGCCGCTTATACACACAAGACAGAAAACTAAATCTAAAGGTGCCGCTAGAGTAAAATTGTTGCAAGAGTTTATAAGAGGAACTTGAGTCTAACAGGTGAACTAAGTTCTTAGCTTTTGTGGGCTTTAAGTGTTTTAAAATTCATGGTGAAACCATATTCTGCAGAGACATATTTACTGTTAGAGAAAAAAGCGACCACTGACTCTGTGAATCCTGCAGAAACAGAGACCTTAATGAAAAACCTGAAGTTTTACCCTTACACTGTCATAGTTGCGAACAGCCATGAGGCCCCATGTAACACTCAATATGACCTCCAATCCCTTCTGGAATAACGAAGAGTATAAAAACCAAGCTCACAAATTAAATAAATACCCTTAGACGTTCTGCCTACTTTATTAATGTTGGCATCCTAGCTCTTGGTTGTGGTCAGGCTCTGCTGTTTTATGGCTTGGCCTTGCAGAGTTGAGAAAACCCTGAGAAGTTGCCAAGTCCTTCTCCATCCCGTGGAGGCAGCACGGGGAGAGCTCAAAGGCTGCAGTCAGAAAGAAGTGGGCTTAAACCTGCTTCGCCACTGACTTCACGTAGCAGCTCAGGCAAATGACTTAACATCTCTTAGCTAAGTCCCGGGCCCTCAGCCCTGGTGCCTCCTTTAAAGAGCTGTTGCGAGGAATAAATGTGTGGGACATGTTCTGTGAAATTTTACAAATAACACAAAACCTTCTTTGTACAGATAAGACAAGTGAGAGGAGAGGCTAAGACAAGGTTGTCTAAGTAAACTGTAAGCTTACACGATCAGTTTCCCAAAACACCTCTCCACTGAAATACAATCACGAGTCAACAAATCAGCAAATGTTTGGATCCCCAAGCTGTAATAGGGACGCAGGTATAAAGATGGATAGAACCCAAACTTGGAAATTATTGTTACTTTGAGGGAGATTATGAATACAGTGTAATTTCAATATTTAAATAATGTTCAAAAGCAATGTAGTAGTAGAATAGTTTGTGTGGTAAATTTTATAGATATTAAGTATGTTTAAGTCAGAACAGAGAGCTATCAATTCGGATGGAGTATCTGGTCATAGTTTCTACAAGACTTGAATAGGTATTGCAAAATAAAGAACATCTATTTGTATACTTGTATAGGTGCTCCAGACCAGGCAATGTTAAAAATACTTCTTGCATGTATTTTCTATCTAATGCATGGTATAATTTTGCTCTACTTTGCGATTTTTACATAATTTTATATTTGTTAGTTAATTATTCCAATCGTTTGGGTTTCTTCATAGTGCTCTGTGACCTGTGGCTCTGGAGTTCAGCAAAGGGATGTGTACTGCAGACTGCGAGGTGTTGGTCGGGTGGCGGAAGAAAAGTGTGATCAGTCCACACGGCCTTATTTTCAGAGACAATGTTGGCGTCAGGACTGCATACAGTACCATTGGGTGGCGGGAGAGTGGCTGGATGTGAGTATTGTCAAGTACACTTTCAGACAACCCTTCAGTGAAAGAATGTGTTCTTCATTTCGTCATTGTATTTCTAGTGTTCAACGTCATGTAAGAAAAGAGAGACACATCGGCAAGTGAAGTGCGTGGGTGCACAAAACACGCAAGTGAATGAAAGTTTCTGCGATCCTTCAACCAGACCTCTTGCAGTCAGAAAGTGCAGAAACCCTCCCTGCAAGTATATTGTGGTAACGGGAAACTCATCACAGGTAAGGCAAAGAAAGGAAGTTGAGAATTTTCGCTCCTGGAAAACACAGCTGAGTTTCAAATTTGACCCAGTTGAAACTGGGTCTAAATTTGAACATGGGAGCAGATGATGGTGTGCATATCAATCTAAGGGATAAAATCGCTGGCAGTTGGATGGTGCAAATAGAATAATAGCGACATGTATGTTAAACTCTGGTGCAGTTCTGAAGCGGTGACAACTTTGAAACCGACTACCAGGGACGGTTTGGCATCTGTCCCTGCATAGTTGGCTGCTTTAAAAAATTTTTCTCTTCCGGTTTTATTGAGATATAATTGACGCACAGCCCTGTATAAGTGTAAGGGGTACAGCATATATCTCTGTCATCATCCATATATCTATCTATCTATCTACCTATATCTATCATCTATCTATCTATCTATCTATCTATCTATCTATCTATCTATCTATCTATCATCTATCTATTTCTTCTTTATTCATCTATTTATGGAAACTTAGGTTGCTTCCATATCTTGAATGTTGTAATCAATGCTGCAATAAATATTGGGGTGTATATATCTTTTTGAGTTAGTGTTTTTGTTTTCTTCAGGAAAATATCCAGAAGTGGAATTTTGCTGGATCATATGGTAATTCCCATTCACAATTTTTTGAGGAAACGCCATAATATTTTCCATAGTGGCTGTACCAATTTATATGCCCACCAGCAGTGCAGGAGGGTTCCCTTTTTTCCATATCCTTGCCAGCACTTGTTTGTTTGTTGTCTTTTTGATTATAGCCATTCTGACAGGTATGAGGTGATATCACAGTTTTTATTTGAAATTCCTTGATGATTAGTAATGTTGAGTATTTTTACATGTGTCTGTTGGCCATCTGTATGTCTTCCTTGGAAAAATATCTATTCAGATCCTCTGCCCATTTTTAAACTGAATTGTTTGCTTTTTTTGATATTCAGTTGTGTGAGTTCTTTATATATTTTGGATATTAACCCCTTATCCGATATATCATTGCAAATATATTGTCCCATTCAGTAGGCTGTCTTTTCACTTTTTTGATAGTTTCCTTTGCTGTGCCAAAGGTTTTTATTGTGATGTGGTCTCATTTGTTTGTTTTCGCTTTTGTTGCCCTTGCCTGAGGAGATGTATACAAGAAAATACTGCTAAGATTGGTGTGAAAGAGCGTATTACCTATGTTTTCTTCCAGGAGTTTTAGGGTTTCAGACCTTACATTTAAATCTTTAGTCATTTTGAGTTTATTTTTGTATATGGTGTAAGGAAAGCATCCAGTTTTATTCTTTAGCACATAGCTGTTGAGTTTTCCGATGAGACTGTCTTTTCCCCATTGTATATTCCTAGCTTTGTGTTGTAGATTAATTGACCATATAAGCATGGGTTTATTTCTGGAATCTCTATTCTGTACCATTCAGCTATGTTTCTGTTTTTGTGCCAGTATCATACAGTTCTGTTTACTATAGATTTATAATACAGTTTGAAATCCAAGAGTATGGTAACTCCAGCTTTAGGGTTTTTTGGGATTTTTTTCTGTTTGTTTTTTTTTCTTAAGATTGCTTTGGCTATTCCAGGCCTTTTGTGGTTCCATTCAAATTTTTGGATTCTTTGTTCTAGTTCTGTGAAAAATGCCACTGGTATTTTGATAGGAATTACATTAAATATATAGATTGCTTTGGGTAGTGTGGACATTTTAACAATATTAATTCTTCCAATCCATGAGCATGGTGTATCTTTCCATTTACTTGTGTCATCTTCAATTCTTTCATCAATGTCTTATAGTTTGCAGAGTACAGGTCTTTCACCTCCTTGGTTAAATTTATTCCTAGGTATTTTATTCCTTTTGATGCAATTGTAAATGGAATGGTTTTTAAAATTTTTCTTTCTGATAGTTTGTTGTTAGTGTATAGAAATGCAACGGATTTCTGTGTATTGATTTTGTATCCTCCAACTTTAGTGAATTCATTCATTAGTTCCAATAGTTCTTTGGTGGAGTCTTTAGGGTTTTCTATATATAATATCATGTAATCTGCAAATGGTTACAGTTTTGCTTCTTCCTTTCCAATTTGAACGTCTTTTATCTCTTTTTCTTGTCTGACTGCTGTAGCTAGAACTTCCAAAACTATGTCGAATAAAAGTGGTGAGAGTGGTATCTTTGACTTGTTCTTGATCTTAGAAGAAGGCTTAGAGGAAAAGCTTTCAACTTTTCATCACTGAGTGTGATGTTAGCTGTGGGTTTGTCATATATAACCTTTATTATATTGAGGTATGTTCCCTGTGCTATTGAAATAATCATATGACTTTTATCCTTCATTTTCTTAATGTGGTATATCATGTTGATTGATTTGTGGCTATTGAACCATCCTTGCATCCCTGGACTAAATCCCGCTTGAATTTGGTTTGCTAATATTTTGTTGAGGACTTTTGCATCTATGTTCATCAGTGATATTGACCTGTATTTGTGTGTGTGTGTGTGTGTGTGTGTGTGTGTGTGTGTGTGTGTGAGATATCTTTGTCTAGTTTTGGTATCAGGGTAATGCTAGCCTTGTAGAATGAATTTGGAAGTGTTCCTTCATTGGCATTTTTTTGGAATATTTTGAGAAGGATAGGTGTTGACTTTTCTCTAAATTTTTGATAGAACTCACCTGTGAAGCCATCAGGTCCTGGACTTTCGTTCGCTGGGAGTTTTTAAATCTCAATTTCAGTGCATGTGATTGGTCTGTTCATATTTTCTATTTCTTCCTGGTTCAGTCTTGGGAGATTGAACATTTATAGAAATTTATCCATGTCTTCTAGATTATATAATTAGTTGGCATATAATTGTTAGCAGTAATCTTTTACAATCCTTGTATTTCTGTGGTGTCAGCTGTAACTTTTTCTCTTGCATTTTCACTTTCTTGATAGTGTCTTTTGTGCACCAATGTATTTACTTTTGATAACGTCAAATTTATTTTTTCTGTTCATTTGTACTTTAGGTATCATTTCTAAGAAACTATTGCCCATCCAAGGTTACAAAGGTTCACACTTATATTTTGTTTTAAGAATTTTGTAATTTTAGCTGATACGTTTAGGTCTGTAATCCACTTTGTATTAATTTTTGTATATGATGTGAAGTGGGGTCCAACTTTATCCTTTTGCATGTGGCTATCCAGATGTTCCAACACAATTTTTGGAAAAAACTGTTCTTTCCTCATTGAATTATCTATTACTGAAGAGTTATTTTTGAACTCTGAATTCAGTTCCCTGATCTATGTGCCTATCCTTATATCATTACCACATAGTCTTGGTCTCATAGTAAGGTAGTTTTATAGTAAGTGTTGAAATCAGGAAGTGTGAGAGAACCAATTTTGCTTTTCCTTTTCAAGATTATTTGCTTATGCTGTGTCCGTTACATTTCTATATAAATTTTAGGATCAACTTGTCATATTCTGTGTAAACTCCAGCTAGGATTTTGTTAGAGATTACATTGAATCTTGATCAGTTTGGGGAATGTTGCCATCTTAATAATGTCTTCCAATCCGTGAATTGACATGTCTTTCCATTTATTTAGGTCTTATTAATTTATTTCAAGGATGCTTTATAGTTTACATTGTACAAATCTTACACTTTTTTGGTTAATTTTGTTCCTAAAAATTTTATTAATTTTTTATGCTCCTGAAAATGAAATTATACTCTTAATTTCATTTTCTGCTTGTCCGTTCATAATGTGTAGAGATAGAATTGATTTTTGTATGTTAAACACATTTATTGAGCACAGTTCTTTTTTTGTGTGGATTACTTAGCATTTTCTATGTACAGAAGTATATCATTTGCAAATCCAGGTAGTTTTATTTCTTCCTTTAAATCTGGGTGCCTTTTACTTCATTTCTTGCCTAGTTTCCCTGTCTAGAAACTCCAAAACAATGTTGAGTAGAAGTGGTAAAAACAGATATCCTTCTCTTCAGAGGAAAACTTTCAATGTTCATAATTGAATAGGTTAGCTATGGATTTTTTTGTAGATTCTCTTTATTATACCCTGCTATTCTTAGTTTGCTTGGTGTTTGTGTAATGAAAATGTGTCAGTTTGTCGAATGCTTTTTTTGCATCTATTGAGATGCTCATGTGGTCTTTATGAGTCTATTTGTATGATGTATTCCATTGATTGATTTCACATGTTGAAACAATGTTGCATTCCTGGGATAAATCTTACTTTGTCATGGTGTATGATCCTTTTTATTTGCTTCTGGGATTGTTTTGCTAGTGTTCTGTTGAGGATTTTTACATCTATATTCGCAAGAGATATTGGTCTGTAGTTTTCGTTCCTTGTTATGTCTGCCTAGTTTTGGTATGAGGGAAATACTGGCCTCATATGACAAATTAGGAAGTGTTCTTTTCTATTCTATCTTTTGGAAGTGTTTTGGAGGGGGAGGGTGCTAATTCTTTAAACTTTTGGGGGAGTTCACCAATGAAGGCTCTGGTCCTGGGTTTTTATTTGTGTGAAGTTTTTTGTTTATTAATTCCATCTCTTTACTTGTTATAGGTCTACATAGATACACAGATTTCTACACATGTTCTCCCATCTTCCCAGAGTTTGTTGTTACTGCTGTTTATTGTTGTTTGTTTGTTCAGTGACTTTTCTGAACTAACTGTAAAGTCTGTATTTTTTGTCTCATGTGATCACTAAAGTCTCTATCTGATTAGTTTTCAACTAATGACTGGGTAGTGATTTCCTGAGATACTTGGAACCAGTAATCTCCAGTCTTTGCCAAGAGGCTCTGTGTGCATGTGTGGGCATCTTCAACACTAGATGAGGCAGTTGACAACTCTTCCTTAACCTTAACTTCCTGCTTGAGCAGAGCCTTGACATCAGCCAGAAATGAGAGTGTAGGTACTTCTCAGATATTTCCTAAGCTTGCACACAGCCCTAGACATGTGCAAATCTTATGTATGTCCATGGCCTTCTAGTTATCTATGACTCTGTTGGAGTTTTTAAAGCCCCTGTGGACATCTCCTTTCCAAGCTTTTCCTTTTAAGCTTTTCTTGGTAGCCCATTGCTGCCTGACTGTTATCCACTTCCTTTGGAAGCTGCAAAGTTAAACAATAGCCTTTAATTGTGTTAAAAAATGCCTCCAAGGAGAAGGCTTTTAGCACTGGGCAAGTGCTGGGTAAAGTCAAATAGAGACTTGCAAGTGAGGTCTTTCAGAAAACCACCAAACAGTTCAAATAATGACAGTTCTCTGGAAATGAGGCTTAGAAAGATGTCCAATCCCTCTGGTGGCTTCCATGCTTTTGTTTTTCAGTATGTTTGCAGGCCTATTGATTTTCAATCCTCCTATAGAGCTGAAGAGGGGGAATGGGAATAGGGCAAACTAAAACACACAAAGCTCACTGTTCTTACTGAGATTTAGCCTTATTTCTTTAATAAATGCTTCCCGGATTGCTGCAAGCCTTTGGTTAATTTACAGAGCTCTGAAAAAGTTGATTTTCACAAGTTTTGTCAGTTTTCTCATTGCCTTTATAGAAGAGAACGTTTTCAGATGTCCTTGCTCTGCTGTTTTCACCGATGTCACTCACCCCTTGGGGTCTGCTTTGATAGATGGATATTTCTCCTCATCATAGGTTATATTTTCCTGCCTCTTTGCATGCCAGTTAATTTTTTATTGCATGCCATGCATTATGAATTTTACTTTGTTGGCTACTGGATAGTTTTTATTTCTATACGTATATTTTGAGCTTTGTTCCAGAATGCAGTTATTTTGTCTGTAAGAAGTGTGATCTTTTCTTGTCTTGCTCTTAAGATTTTTTATGGGAGACCAGTTCATTGTTTAGTCTAGGGTTAGCTATTCCCCTCTACTGTGGCAAGACCCTTTTGAGTACTCTACCTATTGCTGCATGTATATAAGGTTTTCCAGTCTGAATGAAGGGAACAGACACTATATTTGGTCCTGTGTGAGTGCCAGATACAGTGATTCATATGTCATTTATTTACTTAAAAATACTTATTTATTTATGTTGCACCAGGTCTTATTTGAGGCACACGATATCTTTGTTGTGGCATGTGAGATCTTTAGTTGCAGCATATGGGATCTTTCAGTTGTGGCATGAGGACTTCTTAGTTGCGGCATGCGGACTTTTAGTTGTAGCATGCATGCGGGATCTAGTTCCCCGACCAGGGATCGAACCTGGGCCCCCTGCATGGGAGCACGGAGTCTTACCCACTGGACCACCAGGGACGTCCCCATATGTCTTTTAATCGGTCCATGCCTTGGCCTCAGTTGGAGTCCTCACATGTTTGCACTGGTCAGAACTCTGCTGTCCCCTTGGGATCCCTTTTCTTGTTCCAAAACCTGGAAACTCTCTCAAGACATTAAGCTAGAGCAATTATAGGGTCACTTTGTTTGTTTCCGTCTCCCAGGGAATCACTGTCCTTTATTGCCTAATGTCCAGTGTCTTAAGAGCCATTGTTTAATCAATACATATTTTGTTCAAGTGTTTTTTTTGTTTTAGGTCAGATGGTAACTCTATTCCTTGTTACTCCTTTTTGTTGGAGTCAGAAATCTATTTGCCCATTCTTTTCTCTGGATCGTTAATTTATATCTAAATCACTTACCTATTCTAGTCAAATGGTAGTACACATCACATTGTATGTATAGAGATAAATATATGCTAAACTTATATAGAGTTACAAGTACATTAAGACTAATAAATGTCCTTTATTTCAGGTAAGAATGCTTGATATGTTTCATTTCTCCAAAGCTCTGCTTATCAGGAGATAAATTTTCATTCAGTTAAGCTATTCTTTGTAGTGTGACCAAGAAAACAGAAAACAAACAAAGGAACAAACAGAAAAAACATAGGCACTGAATATAGACAATCTATCCTGAATCTGGATCCTTTCCATCCTGGTACAACTCTGTGAAAGTTGCCTAATATCTCTGAACATTTGTTTACCCATCTGTAAATGAGGCTAATAATAGGATTGTTGTGGGGGTACCATAACATAGTATATATTAAGCACCTGGAAAGTAGTGGTGCTTAACCCTGGTTAAGTTTAAGAGCATCTTCTTCTCCCTTCGTAACATTGTATTTTTCAGTGTGCAGGTAACTGTGGATTTAGTTACCGACAAAGGATTTCATATTGCATTGGGATCCGATCTACTGAGAAATATAAGCTTCATGAGCTGTGGCCTATAGACTATCAAGAATGCCCTGTGCTGCCTTCCCCTCAGGTTTACAAATGCAATTTTAGAACCTGTTTGCATATGGCCACTTGGAAAGTTGGAAAATGGAGCAAGGTCAGTTTATAATTATGAATTTAAAATCTTCTGAATGAGACTTTCTAGTTGTGGGATGCCTACTATTCTGCACTTCTAACTAGATATCAGAGTTGTCTCATACCCCTATTGTCTAACAATCACTTTACCAGTTATTTATCAGTTATCATCTCTTTTTCTAAGTTTGCTATAACCTGCCTTAAGCAGGGACCATAATTAATACTTGTTTCTTTTCCTCAGAGCACCTGGCACAGTGGCTTGCATTTTGAGTAGATGCTTAAGCAATACTTATTGGTTAAGTGAAAAAGTAAATAAATCTAATGTATGAGTAATACAGGTTATTTGCACCATATTCCATTTCCAATTTAATTGACAGAAAGCAAGTAAATATTGCTTTGCAAACAGCATACAACAATGAGTAAAAACTCAGTAGTCTGAATAACCATCATTAATTAATATTTATCAGGTATTAACAATATACTGCTGAGCTAACGATACAAAATAAATGGAAAGGAGCCAGTAACTGAGAAAGAATAGATTGAGTTTCTTAAGGATTAGCCCCACCTGTGACTCTCTAGCCTCCAGGATATTTTTGTGTCTGCAGAAATTCTAGCCATTATTGATCATCAGTTTGTTCCAAAAGGACCTAGCTTGAAAGGAGGAGATATGTATTTACTGGCCTTATTATCCATTATATACTTTACCTTCAAATTTTACTCTGTTCACAGTGCTCTGTGACTTGTGGAGTTGGGGTAATGGAGAGAAGAGTGGAATGCATAGCTGACAATGGTTGGTCCAGTGACTTATGTTTAAAGAGTTTAAAACCAGATGCTCAAAAGAAATGTTATGTCCATGACTGTAAGTACTAGACTTCAAAAATCTAGAACCTAAGTGTTCCTCAGAAGTTTTAATTAAAATCTGAAAATAAATATTTAGAGTAGTCATACACTCCACAAAATGAAAGGTCTGTTTTTTTCAGAATATAACAATATTGGTGTAATTGAGTTAAATTCATGTTGTGTCTGTAATTTGTTCATTGTTGATAAGTTGTACTCACTTGTCCTTGAAGGTAAAACATTTACCAGCTGTAAAGAAATCCAAGTGAAAAACAACATTACCAAAGATGGTGACTATTACCTTAACATTAAAGGAAGAATAATAAAGGTATTATGAAGACAGCTCCTATTTGATTTTAGCATTGACTGTTGACTTTGAAAAAATCTTTTCTAGATCTTTGCATTTTCTCTTTAGATCTATTGTGCTGGCATGCACTTGCAGAACCCCAAGGAATATATATCATTGGTCAAAGGTGAAGAAGACAACTTTTCTGAAGTGTATGGCTTTAGGTATATGCTGTGTTTTGCCTTATCTGTGCATTTTCATGGTCCTTCAAGAGAATTAGAAGTTCCAGAGTTCAGAGTGGTACTTGAATAGCTCCCAGTGTGACAAGTAATTTAGAAACAGGTAGATATATTATGACCTAAGCCAGATGTTGTCCATGCCTGTTCAATAATAAAGATTTCAGCATTAACATGTACTCACAGAGAGACTGACTAAGAAGGATACTATGGGTGAGCAGTGAGACAACAGAGGAGGGAAGAATTTAAGACCTGTGTGTATTTTCATAGAAATCAAATTAATTCCAGTAATAAAAGCTAGGAGAACTACAGCTGAATTATTTTTCCACAAACTGGTCTTGAATTTCCCATTGATCATTTTGTATTTCTTTGACATTTAACTTGTTGAGTGATTTTCATTTCTTTCACATTTAACCTGTTGACCCTAAAATATTGGAGAGTGTGTCTTTTACCTTCCCACTTCCAAAGTTTACCATTTATCTGCATTATGGTCTAATAATGGTATCTAATATTAAAATATTTTAATGTTGTTACAGACTGCAAAATCCATATGAATGTCCTTTTAATGGAAGCAGGAGGCAAGACTGTGAGTGTAAAAATGACTACTTGGCTGCTGGACACACTGTTTTCAGCAAAATAAGAATTGATCTTAATTCCATGCAAATTAAAAGTAAGTGCTGAATCTCTATTTGTAAAATGAAAAGTACCTGTTTGCTAATGCAAGTGTAACAATATACTATATGGTATATGTGGTAGCTAGGGTATAGAGAAGAGCCTAGCATTGTACAGTAATTACTTAGAATTCTTTTTAAAAAGTTATTAGCTACATAGTTCCAGTGCAATGATACAAACCATGGGAACCCTTAATAAAAATGTAGTGGTAATGACACTGTCATTAGTAAAGATAGTAAGGATACTGTCATAGTAAAGATCCTGCCCTTCCAAGATATAACAATCTACCTTAAAATCCTCAATTACATTAAAAGTAAGGAAGTTAATATCCTCAATGTAGTTGTATAAGCTTTTTTGCAAGGGCTTAAAGCTAATAATTAACATTAGCTTCAGGTGACAGTTTGTCTAGTATTTTCTTATACTTTATCTCATTTGATCTTTTTAACAACCCTATACTAGATAAGGCAAAATTTCATCACCTTGTTGCAAGTGATGAAATTAAGATGCACTTATAGAATTAAGTGATTGGCCCAATTCATACAGTTAGTAACTGGCATTGCAGGGAGATAAAGTCCCACTCACAGATCCCAGATTATGGACCTGCTGCCTTTCTAGGAAGTAATTTATAGTACAGTCAAGTTAAAGTAAATATACTTTATGAAACCTAACATACACTGAGCATCAGCCAGTCTGCCCTCCTGAAAATTACATAGTGACATGAAAATGCAAAGAAGTTCATTTCAGAAGCAGAAACTCTAAATCACAATTGAATCACCAGTGCCTAGCACAGTACCTAAACCACAAAAAGAAACAAAACAATGTTTGTTGAGACAGTGAATGCATGAATACATAATCTCTAAATCAGTCATATGATGGTGAACTATTATTGTCAGTAATAGTGGCTACCATTTACTGAACACCCACAATTACTGCAGTGGGGAAGTGTTATAATGCTTTGGTTATGATCATAGACTCTGGAGTTAGATTGCTGGGTGTAAATTCTCTGCATCCAGTTACCAGTCATAATAAGATGGCTCTCAGGTTTTTTTCTTTCTTTTTTTCTGCTTTCTTTCCTTTTTTTTTTTTCGGTTAGGATTAAGAGATAATACTTGTAATATATCTAGTAAATGCCTTGCGAGTAGTAGGTGTTCTATAAACAATGGTTATTATTTAATAATATATGTTGTGTCAGCATTGCTGAGTACATAATGGGCATTTGGGAACTTATTTGCTGTTTAGCAAGCTTTTATCTTTCATTAATTTATCAAACCTGCCATTTTGCCAGGCAATGGACGGGGCTCTGAAGATACAATGTTAAATGTATACATTTTCCACTTGCTTTCTCTTTTCCTTCCTCATACTTGTGTGCCAAAACCCGTCTTGATTAAATTAAACCTTTCACCTACTCTGCACTTGCACCATGAATCTTGCATGTGGCAAGTAATACACAGCCCTCCTGACTGATCTTACTTTAAATGCATGACTCCTGAGCTTGCACGGACCCTGGTTCATTCCTCCCCAACTCTTCTCAACGTCTGACTCACAGCTTCTCCTCTGGCTTCAAACTTCAAAATTTTCTAATACCTCCACTCCAGTCACTCATTGCTGAAAACCTAAACCTTGACCTATAGACTTTGCCTTCTCTCCTGGTCACTGTGGATGAACTATTTCTGCTGCCATCTGAGGCAACCCCTTCTACTTGTGCTCTGAGCTCCTTGCTTTGTACCAACTCAGGACCATTATTTCAGCAAACTTTCCTTTTTCTCTTACATCACCAATTCTTCTTCCATTTCTTTAACTCCAATGACAAATTCTTGATTTTCATTTCATTTGATCCATCAGCAGTCTTTGGTTTCCAGGACTTCTCACTCTCATCATTTGGCTCCTGTCTTGGTCACTCTTTCTCCCATCTTTCTCACTGTTTCTCAACTTGGCTAGTTACTCTTCATTTTATACAACACTGAGTATTGAAGAACTTCAGGACTCAGTCATTCCCTTAAGGATCTCTTTCAACTTATAGATTTCAAATACCATCTATTAAATGATAGTCCCAAATGTATATCTCTAATTCAGACTGCTTCCCTGAATTCCAAGATTCAACTCCCTACTCCGCATATCCACATGAAATCTAATATGTGTCTGACAATGTATCCAAGACTGAACTTTCTTTTTTTTTTAATTGGAGTATAATTGCTTTGCCATGTTGTGTTAGTTTCTGCTGTACAATGAAGTGAATCAGTGATATGTATAACTATGCCCCTCCCTCTTGGACCTCCCTCCCACCCCCCCATCCCACCCATCTAGGTTATCACAGAGCACTGAGCTGAGCTTCCTGTGCTTTATAGCAGGTTCCCACTAGCTATCTATTTTACACATGGTAGTGCATATATGTCATTCCTAATCCCACAGTTTGTCCCACTCTCCCCTTCCCCCACTGCATCCACATGTTCATTCTGCATCTCTATTCCTGCCCTGGAAATAGGTTCATCTGTACCCTTTTTCTAGATTCTACATATATGCGTTAATATATGATATTTGTTTTTCTCTTTCTGACTTACTTCACTCTGTATGACAGACTCTAGGTCCATTCACAACTCTACAAAGGAACCAGTCCTTCCACCCAAATTTTTACCATTTCGGTAAATGGCAACTATCAACTTCTAGTTACTCTTGCTAAAACATAGCAATGTCTTTAACTCCTCCCTTTATCTCACACCTAACGTGCCATCCATCATCAAATTCTGTCAGGTGAATCATTAACATACATGCTGCTATGCACTGTATTGTGTCCTGCATAATTCATATGATGAAGCCCTAATCCCCAATGTGACAGTGTTTGGTTCTGGGGAGATAATTAGGTCTAGATTAGTTCATGAGGGTGGGGCCATAATTGTAAGATGAATGCCCTTATAAAAAGAAGAGGAAAAGACACCAGGACTCTCTTTCTCTGCCATGTGAGAACACAGCAAGAAGACGATCTCCAAGCCAGGAAGGGGGGCTCTCACCAGAACTTGACCGTGTTTGCACCTGCACTTCTTTTGTTTAAGTCCCCCAGTCTGTGATAGTTTGTTAGGGCAGCTTGAGCTAAGACACATGCAAAATCCCACTTTGCCATTATCTCATTTGCTATAACCGTGGGCCAAGTCCATATCATTTTTTTCACCTGGATTCTTATGCTTACTGACTGGTATTCCTGTTTATTCTGGTAGCACTCAGGTTCCTTTTCACCTTTTCCCCAACTTCTGACCTAGATTCTCTTCTCAATAGAGAATCCAGAGTGATCCCTTAAAACGTAAGCCATGTCTTATCTTATACATTATCTCTTTTCATCCTTTTAATAACCCCAACCTCTGCTCAAAAGTCTCCAAACATCTCCCATCTAACTCATAACAGAATTAAAAATCCTGCCGATGGTCAATAAAACTCAATAAGACCTTCCCACCTCCATTACCTTTCTGCTCCTTCCCTCCACACTCCTCCCTTGCACGATCTGGTTCAGACCCATTTGTCCCTTTGCTATTTCTTGAATACATCAAGCATGCCCTCCACCCCTCCTTAAGGCCTTTGCACTTTCTGTTCTATCTGCCTAGAATGATTGTCTGTTGGGTTTACCCCTCAGTTTCTTCCTGGTCTCTGCTTAAATACACCTTCCCAATAAGTTCATCCTGGACCCTCTCCACTCCAAAACTCCCTTTCTTCTCATTCTTTTCCTGCTTTATTTTTTATTTTTTTCTATAGCATTGATCACCTACAACATATGATAGTATCTACTCTATTACTTGTTTCTCTCTGGTAGCACTCAGGTTCCATCGGCCCCTATGTCATCCACTATTGTGCTCTTACAGTACTTATAATAATGCCCAATACGCAATAGGTTCTAAAGAAATATTTGCTGAATAGAAGTCAACTTTCCTCAAGAAACTGTCTTAAGGAAATCTTGAAGACAAATTTGAATTAACCAAAGTGAGGAGAAGGAGTTTCAGGAGGAGACATCATGAACACAGCATGAAATGGTGAAGCATTTTGGTTCCACTAGAGAATAAGGAGTAGTCTGGTTTTGTCTAAGCATAAATTGAATGGAGGTTGGGGGATAGCCGCTTATTAGAGAAGTTCCCAGAAAGCAGATCATGAAGAACAACGTGTACTAAACTATACAACTGAATTTATCTTTTAAGTTATGGGACCTTTGGGATAAAAGTATAAACAGGGGAGGGAACAGGCTCAGTTGGAGAGAGAGCAAATTGTATCCATGAAGATATTTAGGAAGCTAATATAATAGTTCAGATAGAAGGTGATAAGGACCTAAATTAGGGACTTGGTTCAGAATAGAGAACCTGAGAGAAATATTAAAGAGGTACACTCTATGATTTTCCAACAGATGGAATATGGGGATTTGTGGCATGGAATATTTAGAAAGAGTTCCAAAATAACTGGGTAGATGCTGATATAGTTCAATGAGATGAGAAATATAGCAGGGGGAATATGTTTGGAGAAGAAGATAATGCATTTAGCTTTGGACATGTTAAGCGAGAGCTATCTGTGGGTTATCCAGGGAATGATGGAGGAGATAATAGCAAAGGCTAATTTGAAAACTGTGTCAGTTTGCCCAGCCTAACCCTAAGTACCATGCATAAGCAGTGATGTGCAGATAAATGTTTAACAACCAGCTCTTAACAATCAGGAAAAAAAAAGTTTGATTTGTAGGTTTTGCCAGTTTCCATGGGGTATATATTCCCACCATGGCCAATTTTAAGCTACCAACATGAGCTCATTATGCATGGAGTTGGGAAGAGACACACACAATTGGTTCTCATGATTTGGTACAAGCTGACTCTGGCACACCATGGAAGGCCTGCTGGCTTTGGAAGCTGCCCTTGGAGATATGATAAATATTTCCAGAAATGCTACCTTTGGGGATTGCCTCTAGGGGACTGGCGTCATCATGAGGGCATGCAGTGATCTTGCAGTCCTCCTGAAAGATATTTGAAACAACATTAGCAGAGGTGAGAGCCACCGACTGCATGAGCATTAGTTGGGATGTTATTTAAGTGATTCAAGCATGAATAAGTGATTGTACCAGCTAACCTTTAGGGTTCCTCCCAACCTATTTTTGAGCCAATGACTCTTTCTTTCTGATACTTTATATGGAATCCCCAGCATTGTTGCCAGTCAAGAAATTTTGCTAATAACAATAGCAAAAGTAAGATTAGAAAGAATGAAATAGTAATAGAAGAAATCAAAGAAAATGGCACACTTTTTACCTTCATGTTTTTGAATTCTCTAAATGAATTGATATGCATACTCTTATAAGTACGTATATGTTGCTTTATCATAATTTATCTTTAACTAATGTTTTTTCCTCTGTAATTTTGCTCCTTATGCCACTTTATCTATTTTAGATATTCACTATGATGTAAAATATGGTAGAGCATTTATTTAGCTTTTAAAACATATGGATTAGTTACAGATGTCCCTGTCATATTTTAGAGCAATTTATGAGGTGAACATTTTTATATTAAATAAAAATTTGAGAGCCTGATCTATATTATGTACTACAATTGTGCAACATTTTTGCTTAAAATTTTGGATTAGTTATATGAATGTATTTAAGAATGTAATATGAAGACTGCATGTTTTGCAATGAAGATGTGAAAACATACAATGTCTCAGTGCTAAAGAATTTCATTTATTATTTTCTAGCTACAGACCTTCTTTTTGCCCAGACAGTATTTGGAAACGCAGTTCCATTTGCCACAGCTGGAGATTGCTATAGTGCAGCCAGATGCCCACAGGTATTTCATAGTTGATTATTTTTTCTCACTGAGTAAAGTTAATACTGTTTCTCTTCATTCACTTTCTTGACCAAAATACTGCAAGAAACATAAATAAATAGAAAATGCAAACTTCTGACATGAAATTAATTTCAAACGTTATAGATAAACTTTGGAGGAAAAGCATCTTTACCAGTACCAGGTTTGTGTGAAGGGTGTAATAATAAGAATTTTAAATTGTTTAGATCCTGTTTCTCCTTCCATGATGCTTTATCACTGTCAATCTTTCGACTTAGTCCATAAAATGAATGGACATAAGTTACAAGGTAAAGGAATGGATCACAAACATGTGACTTTCATACACTGCTGCTAACAACAGTTATATTAGCTGTTTGGGCCTGTAACATTGTCAGAATAACTTTCTATTACTGTGAAATAATACATTTCCATGTATTTATTCTTGTTTTTATCCTTTCTTTCGCAGAGTTCTCTTTGCACACCCTTTTATGTCATTTTTGAGCTTTCCAGTACAAAGTGTGCTTCCTAGAAGAAATTTGCTGTCTCATTTTTTTAACATAGGATTTTATAAATTCTGTGTGAATAACATTTTTTATGATAAGATACAGAGACATAAGCTAGGTGAATATACCATTATTAGGTAGATTTATAGATTAATGAAAAATCCTGCCCAGGAGATAGTAATTATAATAATGATTTCATTTTGAAGAGAACTAGCTAAAGGGTTTGCCATAGCCCTCTCTTCTAAGAATTTCTCATTCACAGTTTTCATCCTATGACATAGAAAGTATGCTTATGCTAAAAAGAGAGGGCATTTTCTGTATTAGAGAAGGACACTTAAAGGAGTTCAAAAGACACTAGAACTACAGGCTGAAATGAATATGAAAAAAGTTAACTGGAATAAATATATAAATCTTAGGTCCATAAATGCAAGTAGAACCTGGCAATGTCATATAAAAAGACCTAGGTGTTTTATTCAACCACCATGAGTTCAATATAACTAGTGTAGATCAAGTAGTAATTTCTTTTTTCTTTTTCTTTTTTTTTCATATTGAGTTATTTTTATTGGCTGGCATAATACAAGGATTATTTTCCTCTTCACGGAACAAAATGTGATACCACATTTCTTTACAATTAAATTAAGGCTAAAGAACAACAAAGACATTATGATTCATATGATGCATTGGAAACATATTGTCTGTGCTCCACTTGAGCAGAGGGTAGAATGCCTTTAGTTTGTTGCTTTATGAAATGCCAGGTCTTCAGGGCAAATTCTATTAAGGGGTTTTAGTTCCTGCCTGATACTTTGCTTCTCTGCCAGCTGCCACTGCATTGGAGATGCCTCAGGATTGTTCAGCCCATGGTTGGACTTGATTTAGAAATTAAAACTACCAAATTGGGGAAATGTGTCCATTCATTCTTTCTCATCTATTTATCCATCCAATATCTTTCATATCTATAATATTATATGGCCCGCATACCGAAAAAAAAAATTTCTGTCTGGGAAAGATAAATTTTTAATCTATCTAGGAGTAGAAGGTGACAATCAGGAAAAAAAGGAAGGTTTAAATTTCATTATGTTAGGAAAATGAAGAAGGTAGCCAGGAAAATGGTGGGAGGTTATGATAACTACTATTAAATATGTAAGGAGTTCCATGAAAGAGGAGTGACTTCAGTATGTGTTACTCAAGGAGACATTAATAGGGCAGATTCCAGCTCAAGATAAAGAAGACTTTTGACAAGGAGAATTGCCCAATAAAGAGACCACCCCCCCCAAAAAAAATCCGAGGCCTCAATAAATCACTAATTTTTGCCAATATTTTTGTAAATTGATCTTGTATTCTGCAACCTTGCTGAATTCATTTATTAGTTGTAATAGTTTTTTATTGGATTCCCCGGGATATTCTATATACATAGTAATGTCACGCACAAATAATTTTACTCCTTCCTTTGCAATCTGGATGCCTTTTATTTCTTTACCTTGCCTCATTACACTAGCTAAAACTTCCAGGATAGTGTTGAGTAGAAGTGACAAGAGTGGACATCCTTGTCGTATTCTTGATTTCAGAGGGAAAGCATTCAGTCCTTCATCATTGAGTGTGTTAGCTATGAGTTTTGTAGATGCCTTTGATTAGATTGAGGAAGTGCCCTTCTTTTCCTAATTGAAGTGGTGTTATCATGACTGTTGGATTTTGTCAAATGCTCCTTCTGCATCTGTTGTGATGATCCTGTGGTTCTTGTCCATTACCGTTGTGATATGGTGTATCACACAGCTTGATTTTTTTTTTTTTTTTGCGTTATGCGGGCCTCTCACCATTGTGGCCTCTCCTGTTGCGGAGCACAGGCTCTGGACGCACAGGCTCAGAGGCCATGGCTCACAGGCCCAGCCGCTCCGTGGCATGTGGGATCCTCCTGGACCGGGGCATGAACCTGCATCCCTTGCATCGGCAGGCAGACTCTCAACCACTGCGCCACCAGGGAAGCCCACTGATTGATTTTTGTATGTTGAAACAATCTTGCATTCCTGGGGAAATCCCACTTGGTCAGGAGGTCTAATCCTTTTTATATGTTGCTAGATTTTCCTCTGTATTCAGAAGAGATATTGGCCTATCATTTTCTTTTTTTGTGATGTCTTTTTCTGGTTTTGGTATCAGGGAAGTACTGGCTCCATAGAATAAATTGGGAAGTGGTCCCTCCTCTTCTACTTGTTCGGAAGAGTTTGTGAAAAATTAATGTTTGGTAGGATTCACCAGCAAAACCATCTGAGCTCAGGCTTTTCTTTGTGAAAGTTGTTTTATTTACTAATTCAGTCTCTTTACTTACTGTAGATCTTTTCAGATTTTCTAGTTCTTCTTGAGTCTGTTTTGGTAAGCTTATGTTTTTTGTTTTTGCTTTTAGGAATTTGTCTATTTCACCAAAGTTATCTAATTGGTTGGCATGTAATTGTATGTAATATTCCATATAATCCTTTATATTCCTGTGAGATTCACAATCATGTCCCCTCTTTGATTCCTGATTTTAGAGCTTTGAGTCTCCTGTCTCTTTTCTTGGTTTGTCAATTTTGTTCTTTTCAAAAATCCAACTTTTGATTTTATTGATTTTCTCTGTTATTTTTCTCTTCTTTGTTTCATCAATTTCCACTCTATTCATTATCATTTCTTTCCTTCTGCTTGCTTTAGATTTAATTTGCTCTCCTTTTTTTCAGTGCTTTAGGTGGAAGGTTAGGTCATTGGTATGAGATCTTTTTTCTCTTTTAATATAGGCATTTGCAGCTGTAAATTTTCCTTTAAGCACTTCTTTTGCAGCATCCCTGAAGTTTTGGTATGTTGTGAATTCATTTTCATTCATCTTAAAGTATTTTCTATTATCACTTGTGGTGTCTCATTTGACTCACTGGTTATTTAGGAGTGTGGTGTTTAAGTCCCATGTATTTGTGAATTTCCCACATTTCCTTCTGTTATTGATTTCTACTTTCATTCCATTGTGGTTGGAAAACACACTTTGTATTATTCAATCTTTTAAAATTTATTGAGGCTTGTTTTATACATAGCATATGGCTATCCTGGAAAATGTTCAATATGTGCTTGGAAAGAATGTGTGTTCTGTTGTTGTTGGGTGAAGTGTTCTGTAGATGTCTGTCAGGCCTTGTTGGTTGAAAGTATTGTTCAACTCTTCCATTTCCTTGTTGATCTTCTGCCTAGTTATTCTATCTATGGAAACTTTGCAGCTATTATTGCTGAATTGTCTGCTTCTCACTTCAATCCTTTTGTTTCATTTATTTTGTATTAGATTTATTTACCTTGTGATTTTGTTGTACATGACTGTATGCTGCAATTGTCATAATATCCTGATATAGTGACCCTTATATCATTATAAAATGTTCTTCTTTATCTGTAGTACCATTTTGTTTTGTTTTGTTTTAAAGTCTAATTTATCTGATATTAGAATGGCTACTCAGGCTGCTTATAGTACATGGTATATATGTTTTCATCCCATTTGCTTTTAACCTATATATTTTTGGATCCTAAAAGTGTCTCCTACAGGGAGTACTTTGTTGAATCTCTGCCTTTTGATTGGATTGCTTAATGTTGTAACTGATATGTCTGGATTTATCTTTGCCATTTTACTTTTTGTTTTTATAGGTCTTGTATTGTTTTTGTCTCTTCTTTACTGCTTTTTTTATTCAGTGAACATTTTCTAGTGTAACATTTTAATTTCCTTAATAATTTTCTCACTATATTTTAAGTTGCTTTCTTAATGGTTGCTCTAGGGCTTACAATGTACATCTTAACTCTACTCCAGAATCTTCTCCAGAATTATACTACCTAATTGCAGTGACATATAGAAACATTACTCCTATATATACTCTTTTTCCTCTTCCCTTTTTTTTTTTTCTTTTGCAGTACGTGGGACTCTCACTGTTGTGGCCACTCCCATTGCGGAGCACAGGCTCCAGACGCGCAGGCTCAGCGGCCATGGCTCACGGGCCCAGCCGCTCCACGGCATGTGGGATCTTACCGGACCGGGGCACGAACCCGTGTCTCTCGCATCGGCAGGCAGACTCTCAACCACTGCGCCACCAGGGAAGCCCTCTTCTTCCCTTTTTTTGTTGTTATATTTGTTGTCCATATACCTACCTGTGTAACAAACCACAATACATTTTTATAGTGTTACTTTATATAATTTTATATCTTTTAGAGATAAGAAATGAGAGAACTTATATTTCATTGAGTTTTTTACATGAGCCTTTTTATTTAACATTTCTGGTTCTCTTCATTTCTTCCTGTGGTTCTGAGTTATCAGCTGCTGTCATTTAATTACTGCAAAATAGCTTTGCTTCCATCTGCTTTATTTGTGGCATTATTATCAAATATACTACATTTCTATATTATACTGGTCAGTAGTATAATTACATACATATTGGTTTATATAATTGCTTTTTAAACAAGAGAATAAAGGAAAAGAAATATGCAATTATAGTGTCTTTTATGATTACTACAATT